CACTCCTTAATAGCCCACTCCTTAATAGCCCACTCCTTAATAGCCCACTCCTTAATAGCCCACTCCTTAATAGCCCACTCCTTAATAGCCCACTCCTTAATAGCACACCCCTTAATAGCACACCCCTTAATAGCCCACCCCTTAATAGCCCACCCCTTAATAGCCCACTCCTTAATAGCCCACTCCTTACTAGCTGCTCGAAAAGTTGTAGCCCACCGTTAAATTGGTGCTGAAAAATTATGACCCACCCTTTCAAAAAGGCAAAAGATACCAGCATTCCATTTTCCTGTTGCCAAATAGTTGTGTGTTGCAATACTAAAACCTAATGCATATCGCAGTATGCATACTGCAGTATCTTTCAGCGCATAATTAGAGAACTTCAGTTTGACATTTACGGCTAACACCAAACTGCTAACTATAATTGTGATTTAACTACGCTCTTGTAGAAATTACACTAATTTTGTTACATAATAAAATCCTGCACAAAGCTCATGACATTTAACAATAATATCAGTGGCAAACACTTTACAAAATTTGGGGGGGGGGTTCTCAAACTGAAGGCACGGAAAAATATTAAAATCTGAATCCCGGAAATGGCATTTGCAGCATTCTGAGAACACATTTTGTAAAAAACTAGGTTTTCAAAGCACTGTTTTAATGGTGCATTTTGTTATAAATCACATGCTAAGTATAGAAAACTAACATTTCAGAGAAAATATTTACATGATTATTTTAATTTTGGAATAGGTAATAGGATCTCTATGTGTAATTTGATGATGCACATGAATTTATCACAGGGTCGAATTTGACCATACTGCAATATTGCAAATTTGGAATTGGTAACAAGACTTGTGATTTTGTGTTGTGTAATTTTTCTGTATCTCATTTCAGTAAATGGTTTTCTTAAATTTGTCTTAACAGGGTCTGGAAAGTAGACCATGTATTGAGATATTGTAAACTTAGTCCTTGTTTTTCACTGTGCTATACATACTGCATCTTCCATATGACATACCATCTGCTAAGCCCCGTTTACATGAGACCGGAACAAAGTCAAACCGGGACCATTTCGTTTCGGTCATAGTATTATTTATAATAGATGTTTACATGAAACCGGGACGAAAAGAACTCAGACCCGTCTCAAGTCATTCCGCCTGCTTGAACCGAACCAACCGACTTCAGACCAGCATGAATTCAGACCGGGATGAATGTAAACACAAATACATTTCAGACTGGTTTTGGCTGTAACCTTGACATTGGAACAGCACATGCTAACAAAAGCCATATAAAAAAGAAAATTGCCAGGCAAGGGGAATAAATTGAAAATTTTGTGATTTTCGTACATATATAAACATATAAACATGTTGACAATTCCAATTTTCATTCCGGTTTTGACTTCGTCCTGGTCTCATGTAAACAGGGCCTAACATACTTTACAAGCATGGTCAACCCAAGACTCTGTGAGGCTTGCCATAGCCCCAATACACAGTCACATCATTATTCAATGTTTCATTAAAAATCACAACATCTCTCCAATACCATCCATTTATCTCCTTAATGTAATTTTGTTGTACCAATGGGATGGTTTGTCCAAGGCCATACCGCATGCCATTCGACCCATGTTCTCCTTTCTCTACAGTAATTTTTAATGATATTGACCCAATATATTACACTATTCATAACACGTTGAAACGCGAAACTGGCTAGGAATGCTCTGGACTGCTTTGGACAATCAATCCTAATTATGTATTACTTAAAAATATTAATCCATATAGTATATACTATGTAATAACTGCCATATTGTGTGCAGTCATTTTTGCTAGACCCTGGGTGCCACGTTTTTTGTATTTTGTTAAAAATCTGGGATGATTAGTCTAAGGCATCTAATTTAAACAAGGTTTACCACCCTTGTGGCATAATTAAATGTTCAGCCCGATTCTATAAACCACATTTTTGTAAATTGTACAACATCTAGATATTCCACCTATCAATAGTTAGATACATGACACAAACCATAGGCTTCATGACATATTTCACAGCATGGTTTGCTTTCAAGACCCTATGAGTATGTATATAATCTAACTGCATCAATACTTAAATACTAAGGAATAAACTTACAATCCTCACATAGCCTTAACCACATGTGATGGACAGATTATGAAATACACAAGTGATACTGCATGGTCCACTTTCCAGACCTGTGAAGATATATTTAAGAAAACCATTTACTCAAATGAGATACAGGAAAATTACACAACACAAAATCACAAGTCTTGTTACCAATTCCTAAATTGCAATATTGCAGTATGGTCAAATCCAACCCTGTGATAAATTCATGTGCATCATCAAATTACACCTATCAATTACCAAGTAATAACTTTACATATAGTACATGCTAACTTCAATTACGATCTTTCTACAATGGATTGACATTAAAAGACACAAAACAATGCACACAGAATATGTGTGCACCTTTTATACAATATTTCACGGCATGGTCTACTTATCAAATTACACCTATCAACTACCAAGTAACAACTTTACATACAGTACATGCTAACTTCAATTACGATATTTCTACAAAGGATGTACATAAAAAGACACAAAATAACGCACACATAATATGCATGCACCTTTCACACAATATTTCATGGCATGGTCCACTTCCAAGACTCCGTTGAAAATAAAAGAAATCCATTAGATAAATAATGATAAGTCAACCACAGGTTCAAGAAGCATGTAGAGGTCCTATTACCTATTCCAAAATTAAAATATTGTGGGTTAATAGCAATTTATATTTTTAATTTTGTGAATAAACTGTGTACACCATAGGCGTATTAGCCAGTAGCCTGCGTGGCAGGCCCTCAAATTTATGGGGGGCCTGATTTGCAGAGGGCAGGATTTTGGCGGGCTCCGGGGGAGGATTAAGGGCCTGCAGGAAAGCCCACCTTTCATGACTACACGTCGTTCAGATTCTGAACGGTGAATACAATCACCTGATTGGTCAATACCAAGTCAGTGGAAAACCGTAGTATTTGTTGATTTCAATATTGTTGCTATCTAATCCTCGATCTAATCTTGAACATCGATCGTGGCTATTTTTTCTTATTCAGCAGCGATACAAAAGATGATCTCACTGGCCAGTCGTCAGGAAATAGCACAGGATAATTGCAAACAATTAACGTGCATGGATGTAAAATTGTAAATACTGATTCTGATGATGTACTATATAAAAGTATTAAGCTCAACATCGACGGTTTGAAAACGTGTGAAGGGCGTTTGTCACTGTGGTCCAGCCACTTTTCGTTTGTAGGGTTTCGCGTCACAATATTCCCATTCGGATGACCTAAAAGCACTTTTAATGATTTAAGCACAGTTAATTTAAGTGACGAACGCCCACGAACACCCTTCACACGTTTTCAAACCGTCGATGTTGAGCTTACTTCGGTACATCGTCGGAATCAGTATTTACATCCACGTTGTCTGCAGTACCTGTGCTATTTCTTGATGACTGGCCAGTGAGATCATCTTTTGTATTGCTGCTGAACAAGCACTGTACTTTTACGCGCAGATTTCGATTCAGTTCTAGACATACTACCCGGAAAACATCGCGGAGAACAAACATGATTTGATTCAGTTTGGTTGAATGGACTAGCGCCACGGTCAGCGGGTCAGGAATTGACAGTTTAGGCTTTCCTGATGTTTCTACATCTTTGGGCTGGTAATGGTGTTGAAACTTCTCGTGTAGTACTGTAGTGTATTAACAAAAGCCAACTTTCTCACATATAATCTGAGAGCACAATTCCGAAAGATTGTTTTCTTTCTGATGGTTTTTTGTGATGAAACATGAACAATTTTACTAAAATTGCCAAATTGCTGTTTAATTTAAAACAACATTTACAAAATCTGCAATATTGTATTAAATTGTATTATAGTATTGAGTTTAATTCGCAATATTGTTTGATTGACATGTTTACGTGCAAGCGAATATTTTTAGAAACCAATTAATTATGTTATGACTGGGGCGTGTAGTCTTGAAAGGCGGGCTTTCCTGCAGGCCCTTAATCCTCCCCTGGAGCCCGCCAAAATCCTGCCCACTGCAAATCAGACCCCCCATAAATTTGAGGGCCTGCCACGCAGGCTAATTGGCCAGATGGCCCCCCCCCCACTTTTTACTGTCAGGCAATTGAGCTGAAATCCGTGTGTCATTCGGGTAAAACATATAACTCTCATCAAAGTTGATCAGAAGAACTGCAGTCTACAATGAATAATTGAATCTAATAACACCAATATTAATTGCTTTTAATATACTTTGTCATATATGAATAACACCTGTATATGATCATGATCGCTTATGGCAAAGATTATGAAGATTGCAGAAACCGAGCATTGTTCTTAGACATTTCGGTTAAACGTTT